AAAAATGCAAACCAAAAGAATATTTGTTTCTTTTCTGCCTGTAAAATCATACTGTTTGTTTGATTTTGCTGTTTTAAAAATGATCCTCATAGTGATTACTCCCAAGGGAAAAATCGCAAGAATTCTACAGGTGTAAAAGCAATTCTAAATCGGGGAACTAGAGATAGCTTGTTACCGTTGAAGATTCCCGGCCTAGCATGGATTTCTGGATGAGATCCACTGAAGAAATGGATACTGGTTCGCCACTGAATCATATTCGGAATGCTGTCCAGTTGTGATGGGATACAATCATGATATTTTTTTTCCTTTTTTCATTTCCTATTTATTTTGATCAAAGTTACGCCTGTTGGTGGTCAGCCATCTGGTGATTCTAGCGTTCTTTTATCTTATCGAGGGATTATACTGGTTCAGCAGCTGTCCCAAAAGAAGCACTTTGGCGAGGCTTTAAATTCCACGTGAAATATTTAAGTTAAACCTTCCAATTCCATTCCATTTAGTGTTAGTTGTTAAGCGTTACCCTTTCCAGACTACGTTGACGTACTTTTCCATCATGCTGCAAATAATTACTGAAAAAGTGTGCCTTTGTATTATGTTGTGTTTCTGTTTTTTAACAATCTGTTTTTTGTTCTTTGTTGTTTTTGCGTTATCATCACTATGTTATCGGTTGATCTCTTTAACTTTTCACTATAAATTTCTTATTTTTCTTCTTGCATAATACAGAAAATTTTCGTTCGTTCTGTTTTATTCCTGAACAAAATGCATTACATCAACGATTTTTGCGCAGGTATTAAAACCTAGGCATTCCAGTAACACAGCATACATGGGATATCTACACTGGTTGTCCGAGTAGTCTTGGTATTTTTGATAATAAAATTCGGCTGCACTAGTTGCTGCTGACTAGTTGCAGAGATTTAACCGTTGCTAGTTTTAGAAAAATGTTAGAGTTATCGCTTTCCTACTAAATTTTATTAAAAAAGATGAACAAATGGTACTCTTTTTGAACTCTTTTTTCCCAAAACATCAAAACTGTAGGATTTTGCACAGCACGAAATGTATTGAGTTCTGTGAACAGGATTTAGGCGGTTTTAAAGCAAAACAGTACAATATATAGCATTTGTGACTGAAGCCAAAACTGGAATCTAGAGATATTCAAGGTGATAACAACTGTACTTACGTAAAGCAGTGTTTCTTTGTTTCGTCCCTTAGCTGTAAACAGAGAGAGGCCGGTCGGTAAAGTCCCGGTCCAGTACAAACTTAAGTAGTTTCACTTGGAAGTTACGAATCTTAGTACCTACGAGATTTTCGACAAATTTTAATTCCATGTGTATAAGTAAAGGCTAAATAAAACAAATAGCAGTGCAATGAATTGTATGCCACTTTTCGAAATCACAACTGTTTCGGCGATCCGTTTTCGCAACTTAGCATTCTCGTCAATTAACGAATTTGCGCGTTGTAGTTCGGCCTTCAGCTTCCCTTGCACCTAAATTATAGCACATTTAATCGGGATTGATCTGCATGTCACTGAGTCCTGCTCGCTTCCGAATTTTCGATGATTTCTCAGACGGACTGCCTGCTAGGTGAAGTTTACCAGAAAGGAATTGACAATTAAAAATACTTGATATAAACACCAAAACTGTCCCGTCGATTGGTATGGGTATCCAATATTAATGATCTTGCTAGGACGTGTTCCCAGAATGCAGTTATGGCAACTCCCTTGACCTTGAGACATTTATGGTCGTTATGGAGGTGGTTGGTGCATATGCATCAGAAAGGCGGGGGGTGCTAATTGGAGATATTCGGCCAGGATCGAAGGATCTGGAATAGTTTGCATAAGATGGAATACCCGCATTCATAAGCCTTGGAAGGGCGGGGAAGAGGAGGGTCCGTATACTGTTCTGTATTATTGTTAATATTATTATTATGACTCATTTATTATTATTACTATTATTATTGTTATTGTTACTGTTATTATTATCATTCTATTCCTACGTTCTCGTAATTTGTTTAATTTTATCGCTTCGAAGATTTGAGAACACTATAAATTGTTTTAAAGTGATGAAATCATGCTGATTTAAAGATGT